ATAGAGATCACTTTGAGGTTAGAATATTTACAAATAGTCATGAGGCATTCATCAAGTTCCTGTTTGTTTAATATTAGTCCAAAATGTAGAATTTTTCAGTTGATATTGGTTACAAAGAATGTTTTATTATGCTTCGTTTCATATAAGAACTAGTATTATTTCATTACAAAAAATAATCATGAGAAATACTATTCTTCTATCAAGCATAGTTCGACAGCTAACAATTAAATAGTAATTAGAGTCGTTTGACATATTTTTCCTTTCGAGCTGCTCTCTGTTATACATTATTCAACAGATCAAAGCCAAAGCTACAAAATGACATATAATTCATTCGATTCAGGTTTAGTCCGACATACATAAAATGTGTATGCAATATTTGAGGATACGAAAAAAGTACTGCTTTTATTGAGTTCTGAGTAGATTTCATAAGACATAAGTAGGCTTTTGATAAAAGCGAGTCGTATATTTGAAATCAGCATGAAAAGCTAAGTCGATCCATATACCTTTCAAAATCTTTCAAGTACTTTTATTTTTATCCTAAAATTTAGTTGAAGTTCCCTTCAGAAGATAGGCGTGAAAATGAACTCCATTAAAACATCTGCCTGACTGGAAAAAAAACAAGTTCTGCACGTCAGAAAAGTTAAGAAAACTCATAAGAAAAATAAATAAATTAATAAAAATAATTGTTCAATCAATTTCACTTTTTTACTCAACTTAACATGGAGATCTCAGCAAAATTTATGGACGAAAATAAAAGCACTCGAAAGATTTTTCAAAAGTATATAGATCGACTCAGCTTTTCATGCTGATTTTAAATATACAACTTACTTTTATCAAAAGCCTACTTATGTCTCATGGAATCGACTCCGAGTTCAGTAAAAAAATGCTCTTTCGTATCCTCGAACATCGCATACATACTTTACGCATGTTGAATAAAGTCTGAATCGAATGGATTATACGCCATTGCATATATTTGGCTTTGATCTGTTGAATAATATATAACAGAGAGCAGTTCGAAAGGAAAAATAATTATGTCAAATAACTCTAATTACTTTTTAATTGTCATCTATCGAACTATGCTTGATAGGAGAATAGTATTTCTTATAATTGATTTTTGTAATAAAATAATAGTAGCTCTTATATGAAACGACCCAAAATAAAATGGTCTTTGTTACCAATGTGAACCAAAACATTCTACATTTTGGATTAGTACTAAAAAAAAACAGGCGCTTAATGAGTGTCTAATTGCTATCTGTGAGCATTCTATCTTCAAAATGATTTCTATTCTACGAAATATTCTGTATTCCAAAATCAATAGCTTATGTTCCTCTCTCCTCGTCGTTTCTCTCTTATTTTGTTTTTTTTTTAAATATTTGTGTTTTATATTAATTAGCTCTTTCAATTCATTCTAAAAATAAACGAACTCAACTTCGTGTTGCTCAAAATCGACAACGTAGACAAAAATCTTTATTATGTCATTTAAAATCAAATACAATACCTCCAGCTGTTTCTACACATGTTGTAGAAGAATCATCATCAATAGATCGATCACAAGAAACTCTATCTAATGATATTTCTTCAGTAATAACACCAATACCTGGAAGTGATCGTAAAACACGTGGTTTTCGTCTTCATATTGAACCACGAACACATACTGTAACACGAACAAATAAAAAACAAAAATTAACATCAACAGTTACAATTAAACAAGAATTAATTGATAATAATAATATCAAAAGTGAACCTTCACCATCATCATCAATAGAAATTCCAATTAAAGGTTTGTTTGTTTTATTAAAAGAAACAAAAATAAAAATAAAAATAATTTTTATTTAGAATTAAAAAGTTCTCGTATAGGAAAAAATAAACGTTCATCATCACCATTAGTAACAATGAATATTTTATCAAATTCTTGTTCTCTATCGAATAAAAATAAGAAAAAACGACGTTCTTCACAAACTATTAATGATATTAATTCTTCTTGTTCGAATGTAACTATTCCAAAAATAGAAATTCAACAATCAACATCATCAATTATTCAATCAGCAATTCCTATTCCATCAATTGATACACGAAATCCAGTTACATGGAATGTTAATGATGTTTGTTCATATTTAAATCAATCTGGATGTTCATTTGCATTAAAAACAATTAAAGAACAAGTAAAGACAAAAAAAAACATTTTTTTTTCTTTTTATTAATTTAAAAAACATTTTTTTTTTCTTTATAATAACAAAAAAAAAATAGGAAATTGATGGTGCTGCTCTTCTGCTTCTTGATGATTTACCTAAAGTTCAAGATTTACTTGAATTTAAATTAGGTCCAGCTGTTAAATTTTGTCATGTTGTTGAAAAACTTCGTACACAAGTCATTGATACATTTCATTCATCACCATCATTAAAAACTTCACGTTTATCAACAACAAACACATCTTGATTAGAATTTTCTTTTTTCTAACAGTGTGTCTATTCTATGAATCTAACTTTATTGTTTCTCCGGATATTTAAATATTATGTTCTATCTGTTTTGCAAAGAACTGTATGTTTATGTTTTCTTTCTTTTTTTTTTTTTTTGTATAATTCTTCGAATAGAAAAAAAGAAAATCAGATATTTCCATTTGATTATTAAATAATCGATTAAGATCTTTGATAAATTTCAAAATGTTACTTTCAATATTAAATATAATTATTCATGAACATGTTGTCATTATATGTCAATTTAAAATAGATTGATGATTAGAATTGTTTAAAAAATGAATTAAATAGATGATTGATTACAAATATAAGCAACAAATTTCAATTTGGAAAAATTAATTTTCTTATGATTCTAAATGATATGAAAATCATGAGTATTCTTGAAAATTTCCTATTCGAAGTTTTCAATGGATTGATTGACAAAAATTTGACTTTCTATTAGAAAGAATATCCATTAGAAGAACCTATAGTACTCGCCATAAGTGGACACGATTGAGAAAACAAAGAAGTTATTTTTATTATATCTTATTTATAAAATCTACATTATATGTACATCATCCTAATAATTAATATAATCGCCTTTTCTTTAAATTAATAATTGTACTCTTTTTTTCCATGGAATCGACTAATTTTTCAGAAAATTCTATAGATAAATTTTTCCATTCTTTTTTTATTCTTACAAAGAAATTATTAATTGATGTAGATGGTTGTGTATTTATTTTGAACTTCATTAAAACCCAAACATTTTCGATTGGGTTACAGTGTGGAGATTGCGATGGCCAAGGTAATGATTGTATCCCATTATTGACCTTGAATGTTTTACTCATTTTTGAAATATACTTCGGATCATTATCTTCGAAAAGTTTCCAATTATAGTTATTATCATCAAATCATATTTTTATTGATGGTAGGAGTCCATTCTTGTAAAGGTGGTATTCGAAAATCATGGATTTTTTCACACGGTGGAAATGGTATAAAATGAAAGTACTTGATGAGTATAGAACTGCTCCGATGTTGATTTCTTTAGATCTTGTTCCTTTTGTGAATAAAAATTTAAGGAATATTATGCCTATATCCTATAGGCTCCTGTGGAATCTCAGGTTTCAGAAAAATCATATATTCGAATTTTGATCTGAAACTTTATGCATATAGAGATCTCAACTAAACTAACTTCCATAAAACAAATTTAGAAGTTTTTAAGAAAGTCTCTTTGAGATATGAAGCTTTCAAGGTATAAGCTCTTGTCCATAAGTAGTTATACAACACGGATTTGTTGAAAGCTTCATATCTCGAAGAAACTTTCTTAAAAACTACCAAGTTTTTTGTATGGAAGCTAGTCTAGTTGAGGCCTCTATATGCATAAAGTTTCAGATCAAAATTCGAAAATACGATTTTTCTGAAATCTGGGATCCTACAGGAGCTTATAGGACATAGACATAACATTCTTTAAGTTTTTATCCACAAAACGGACAAGATCTAAAGAAATCGACATTGGAGCAGTTCTATACTCATCAAGTACTTTCATTTTATACCATTTCCATCGTAGGAAAAGATCCATGATTTTCGACCATCCTCTTTAAACAAAATTCAACAGTGTATGTCAAAGTTCGTCGAGAGAAAGAATGATGTGTGCAGAGACTTATACTGAACGATTACATCAATATTTATAGCAGGCTAATATGATGGTTGAACAGACGAAACGAAGAATGAAATGATATTTCCTGCTTCCTATGACATGTATAGTATATGTTATTATTAGGAGAAAAGACACTTATGTATTGGAGATGGTTTGTATCAATTGTAAAAATAATTATAATTTTGATTTATTCATTTATTTGACACTTTTTCAAATAGATTACTTTAATTCCTCTAATAAGATATCATAAATTTATAACAATCACAATTTAACACTTCTCTAACCTATGACTGAGGTAAGAGGAACAAAATAATTTAGATGTAATCTGTCTAATCAATCTTTTTTATAGAGGTCAAATATAAATGTCCTTCAGTGATCTCATATTTATAAGCAGAACGATGTTTTCTATGATGTATTATTCTCTTATCAGCTGATTGTCTATTTGATTTGATGGCATGTAAATAATGGCATAATTGATTAATCATAATTTCCTTCATTCTTAGTTTTTTTGCATTATATTATAAAAAAAAATGATTTGCTACAATATATGTCATGTATTAAAATATTTAGATAAGTTGATCTAACAAAAGAAAGACAAATCTATATGTATAAATATTATCCGATCTCATTTGGCAGTATACACTTGTGAAGTATACTTCTGTTTCTTGTTCGTTATTTGATAAAGAGACCTTCGTCTCACTTTTCAAGTGTAATAATTTTGAATATTTCATATAAAACAGCATAGGTAAAAGAGACACTTTATGACAGACATTTAATGACTTTTTTCTTTTTTTATTCACTATAGTGTGTGGAAATGAGAAGAGCAACACGATAGATACTTGTCCTTCCTTGAGACACAATTAAACAAATATTTAATAAAAAAAACAAAAATGATAAATTCTGTATGGAGACCAATTCAACGAGGAATTGGTTTTGGTCAATCAATACCTCCTCCTCGATCTGCTTTAGGTTTTATTAAAAAATTTCTTAATGATTGGTCATCGATTTTAGCTGCAGTACTTGCTTATACTTTCATAATAGCTCTTTTACCAATAGCTGTAACAGCTTTTGGTATATTTGCACTTGTTCTACGCGATAATCCAGGAGCAAAACAAAGAATTATTGATTCAATTATCAATTCATTACCAGAGAATAATACAAAAATAGCTGTTCGAGAGGTATAGAAAGATAAAAACTATAAATTTTTTTTTCAAAAATCTAATAAATAACTTAAGGTAACTGTTATAGCTGCTAATAATCTTGCAGATGATGGAGGTGGAATTCTTGCAATAGGTATCGTATTTTCAATATGGGGTGGATCTCGTTTATTTGTTACTATTGATAATGTACTTACAATAATTTATCGTACAACAAGTCGTTCATTTATTTTTCAAAATTTATTATCTATTGTAATGCTTATTTTATTTATATTTCTTATTATAATTATGTTTAGTGCAAGTAGTATACCATCATTTGTAATAAATACATTACCAAATAGAAATGATGCACAATTTGGAATATTTGTAGCTGGAATAATTGTGTCAATTTTTATTGCATTTATTTTATTTATCTTAATTTATTTAATTATACCAAATAAAAAAATGAAATTAAAACATATTTGGTTTGGTGCATTAATTGCATCATTTTTACTTGATATATTTATTGTTTTATTTCCATTATATATTCGAAGATTTATGGGTTCATTTCTTGGTCTTATTGGTTTTGCTGTTATTTTAATAACGTTTTTTTATTATTTTTCAATTATTCTTATTTTGGGTGCACAAATTAATGCGTATTTTTTTGAACGAATACAACCATTACCTGACAATATAGGTACTTTCTTAAGTCAAGCTGTTAGTAGAATGTTGAGGACAGCACCAAAGCCGATATTTAATAATAATAATAATAATAATCAATATCCTAGACCAAGACGATCACAACGATACTATTAATATCAATCGAAAAGATAAGAATCACTGTAAGAAGTAATGATCGATGGACATGTTAGATTATTACTTATTTTTTATTTTGTTAAAAAGTTGACTATACTTGTAACAAATAGATTGTATCAGTAATAAATCACAATAATTCAATTCTTTTATCAAAACAAAAAATCTAATGAAATCATCAAATACAAAAACGAACGTAGATTTTTATCTCTTTTGCATACGAATATATAATCAATAATAAACATATCACAAAATTAAAAAAGTAAAAGAAATTTTAATAGATTCTTGCTCAACCTTTTGATAAATTATTCAAATAGATTTGGTGTAATATTAATAATTGAGTAACAGAATATATTTTCTTTTTATTTGATTTTTTCGAAAAAATAGTCACAACAGATGGTGCAATTAGAGTTTAGCGAACCCTCTACAAAAACATATTGTATAGAACAGAATACAATTTTTCTATTAGATATCATGAGAAAAAACTTCATTGAGTGTTACCGAGGGTAAATCAAGTTTTTAATAAAACTATTTTCTATAGAATTTATAGTTTTTTCACTTGAATATTTTAATACGATTAGAAAGTCCACGTCGCTTTGGTCATATTCACACATACCTTGCCTAAAAAATTCGTTAAATCGATCAAATACACTTCTCATCACTGATTTTGTGTTAAGTTACAAAGGAATTTTCCAGCCAAACATGTTCTTAAAAGTTTTTAGCCTTCGGTAAGTATTTGAACAAAATATTTTTACATAGCTTTTGTAGTCGAAACTTTATTCTTTCTAATAAGAAAACTATAAAGTTTTCACGACAAGTTGTTGTCATACTATACTGAAAACAAAATTCATGCAGAACTTTTGCAACATCCATTAGAATATCCTCGATTTTAATATAAAGAATACGTAAAAAAAATGATAATAACAAATCTCTATTTTCAAAAAATTATCGTTTTGAAACCATAAACAGACAGCATCAATCAGAAGACATTATCAACTATGATTTTCATTTTCAAAACCTACACTCTTAAATAAACTCAGACCAAGGTTGATCCGAGACAGGTAATATTGTAGGGGAAGTCATGATTTTCTCTGAAGGATATAAACATTTTTTGCATAAGACAACTCAAGAAAACTTTCAGCTTCTCTAGGAAAAAGCAAAAACTTTTCATGATTGGGAGGTGTATAACATTCCCAATACCTTCCGGTCGAGCCAGTTCTATCTCTGAAATAATACGGAAAATATTGGTTTCTTTGTTTATTAAATTTACTAGTTGTTAACAATGCAAAGTCGAATTAACTTGTATGTTTTTGCATTGACTGATTCTCATTTTGTTGATAAAAATGGTGTTAGAATTTATTTTGCATCTATGTGAATTTCATAGATAAATATCAATCAGAAATACATTCAGATAGAAATAGGAAAATAATTAATCGATCTTACATAGAACAAAAGTATAATACAATAAGAAATATTCTCATTGTTTTATTTTCCTTTTACACATATGAAAGAAAATCTTATAAACAGATTCTTAGTAACTTATTCACTTCAAATGATATCACATAACATTTATTAATATTCTAAATCAAAAGAAAAAACAAAAAACAAACAAAAACAAATATTTTCTTTTTACATGTTCAAGCTTAAACTTGATCCAGGTCCTTTTGAAATCATATCTATTGTGGGTGGAAATAAATTTGATGTTTTACTAAATATTGGTGATGAATTTGTTGATGATGAATTATTTAAACGTAAATGAATTTGTCCACCAAAACGTAAAAGACGTGTTTGAATTTCATAAGCTGTTGAATTTTCTTCCATTATATATTCACATTGATTTGAACGTATCCAAATAAATTTTAATGATGAATTTGATTTTAAAAAAATATCATGTTGTTGTTGTTTTAACATAATTTTTAAAATTTCATTTAATCTTGTCATTTTATTTATTCGTAATTTAAATGGTATATATGTATTTGATGATAATAATGAATTATAAAATGTTAATTCAATTGTATTATCTTCAAAATCAATAAAATTATTTAAATTTTTCATTCTTAAATGATTATTTGAATCAAATGAACATATTAAAGATGATGTTGATGATGATTGTTTTATTTTAATTTCATTTAAATTTGTTGATGATTGAAATGGTTTAAGTGATATACCAGAATATGTTTTATCTTTAGCACAATTTATAACATGTACAAGCCAACGTGATAAACGCCATATATCATCAAGATCTTGTTGACATGATAATAAATGATTAAGACGATAACGTGTTTCATCTAATTCATTTATTGAAAATGCTTCACGTTGATTTTGTTGTGCATATATTAATTCAAAATCAAGACAAATTGATACACGACTATATTGACATATAAAACGATAATTATTACTTATATGTTGTACTAAAAATTAAAATTAACAAAAATAATCAGATATTATTAAATGTTTAAATATAGCTTAGAAGAGAGTCAACAAGTAGAACTAGGTCTTAATAAGAACTAAAAAAATTTTAAAATGGTTTTTTATCTATGTGACTTTTTCCCTAAGATATTATCATCTTACTGAGATTTCACTTATCAATAGTGCTACTGGATTTTGAAGTATCGTCAAAGTTTTAGTCGAAATGGATGAGTCCTGCTTGAGTTATTAAACATTGAATAAAGACGATATTTTCTAATTTTACAATGTCTCAGGAAGGATGCATTTGTTTTATTTGAAGCTTTTAGAACGTTCTGACCACTATGTGATCTAGGGGTGGACCATTTAATTTAACGGGACTTAATTAATGACATTAATTAATGTATTTCATTAACCATTAATATTAATGTTAATGTTTTTTCATTAATCATTAATATTAATGATTAATGTTTTCTTGAAAAAACTTAATTCATTAATATTAATGTTCTCATTAAACATTAATTCATTAATATTAATTCATTAATATTAATTCATTAATATTAATTCATTAATATTAATTCATTAATATTAATTCATTAATATTAATTCATTAATATTAATTCATTAATATTGGCAATTAGTGTTTAATGGGAACATTAATTCATTAATATTGGCGATTAATGTTTAATGAGAACATTAATTCATTAACATTAAGTCATTAATATTAAGTCATTAATATTAATGAAAACATTAACATTAATATTAATGAATTAAGTTTTTTCAAGAAAACATTAATCATTAATATTAATGATTAATGAATTAAGTTTTTAAAGGAAAACATTAACCGTTAATATTAATGATTAATGAAAAACATTAACATTAATATTAATGTTAATGAAAAATATTAACATTAATTTAAGATTAATGTTAATGGTCCACCCCTAAATGTGATCTTTACATCGGCAAAGTCCATCGTTTTGATATTTCGTATATATCATTCGACAAGTGAAATCCTAAATCTAACGATGATCAATTCAAAACAAGAATTCTGAAATTATTTGAATAAATCATATTTTTTTCTTTTTGTCTAAATTGATTAAATCACTTACAAACTTCAAAAATATATATAGGTAAATAAATAAATGATGTAAGAGAATAATTTGATGGTGCAGAAAGAAAATTAATTTCATCAGCAGTTGACATTAAAATAATTAATGATAAATCATCACGAATTTCAACAACTTGTGAACTATATATTCGACTATTTGAAAAATGTGTTTCAGGAAGATCTAAATAAATTTTAGATTTTTTATATAATTTTATCTTGTTTTTTTTTGTTTCAAAATCTTACTAAGCATAATGAATAAGTCTTTAGCTGCGTTACGAAACTGAATTTTAAATAAATCAAGACTATTATTATTATCTGAAGATTCATATTCAATTGAATTTTCATCATTACTTTTATGTAACCATGCCCATTCTTCTCTATAAAAATACAAGAAAACATTTCTAATAGAACACTAGATAAATAATCGATTACCTGGATACATTAGCTACAGAACGAATTTTTGTACATGGTAATGAACCGGGCATAGATTTATTAACCATAACACGTATTGAATCAACACTATTTTGCATTTTTAAATAGGCAACATATAAACCAGACTCAAGACGACACATTGATGCATGATAAAATTCAATCATATCCTTTTAAAAACAAAAATAAAACTAAGAAATTTCTTTTGATTTTTTGTTTTCATACTGGAAGTTTTTCAATTATTTGTTGAAGACAAGAATTATTTGTTGATGATGGAGATTCTTTCATTATTTCAAAAAATTTTGTCATTGTCATCCATTTTAAATTTGATGGAGAAATATTTGTACGTATATCAGAAGATAAATCATTTATTAATACAAATACAACATTACCATCATTATCACGAATATATGTATAATGAAGACGACCAAGATTATTTATTTCTTCTAATGTCTAAAATAAATAATTCAATCGAACAATAATAACTTATCAGAGAAAATTTCTCAAAAATAAATTTATAAATTTACATCTCAATGCCGAAACTATATCAATCAAACAGTCAAGTGTTTGTTTTTTTACTCTTCCATAATAATAAATTTATTTTTCATATGTTAAATAATGAATGAATAAAAATATATCTACTTGTTTATAGACTTTTAAATTTCAAGAAAAAAATAACACTAGAGAAATATTCTCATAAGCACAAAATGAAGTATATATGCTAATCAAAACAAAAAATTTTGAAGTAGAAATGTTTAACTCTGATCGAACATTCAATTTCGTTGTGATTATATGGCTTAATAAGATATCATAACCTCAAATGCTATGTGCAATTAAAAAACATCATTCGACTCTAGACAATTTACTGTTACAGAATTTTGAGAAATGTTTTTTTTTTCATTGTAATCGTTTTGAAATTTTAACCATAGATACTTGAAAGTATTCTCCAGAAGTAAAATTAGCCGTTTCTGTTTTTTAACTTTCTTATCTGAATTTATAGGATTTTGAGAGTCACCACTACAGATTTGGCTCCGAACCTTTACGCATTTCTCTCATTAAAAAATAAGCAGATTTTCGAAAACGCTCAACAATACCTGTGAGATATAGTCTGAGGTACCTTTAAAACGATTCTCAGCTAGATCGCATAAAGTTTGAGAAGGATCGTAATGTACCATCAAGATGCGGTCCTATGGAAAACCAGAATTTTTCCAAAAATGTTTTTCCGCGAACACGTACCTCCTTATTCCAAATGCTCTATCTGTGGAAATGGTCAAATCAAAGGAATATCCTTAATCATATTCTAGTTTTACAGCATATTACAATTCTTTTTATCAGTAATAGAAAGAACTGAACAAGGACTGACTTTCTCGAGTATGAGTACGTATCCATATTTGTTCAGTTTTAGTAATATATTCTAATAAAAGCGTCTCAATTTTATGAAAATTTGTTTCAATTCAATTTTGAAAACTTCTATTTGAATTTCTATCTTACTTGAAGTTCAATAGCAGCTTGAACAAGTTTCATTCTTAAATAAAATGAAGTTGCACTTGAACATCGTTCTAATTTAGGTCTTAAACTTTTTAAATCATCCCAAACAAATGTTAATTTCATAAACCATTGAAAATCTGGTAATAAATTATGACCATAATTTTCATCAACTTCAACCATAGGTAAAACATCTTCATTTGTTACTAATATTCGATCACCATTTAACATAACTGATACTAAATAAAGCCCTCTGACAAAAAACAAAATCGGTTTTTTTTTTTCGTTCGAATAAAACTTTCTACCGTTTTATCGTTTTTGCTAATCTAGGATAAAATTGAAATAATTGTCGAAGATTTTTTCGAAGATTTCCATAATTTCGACGAGGATTTCTTCTATTTGATGTATCAGATGATTCTATTTATTAATGAAAAATAATTAATTAATTGTTTTTTTTTTTTTATTAAATATTCCAAATAAAACTTACCATTTCCTTCTAATGATTTACTAATTCTAATTCCTTCTCGTTCATTGAAAATTTTATTTAGAATTTCTTCAAAACGTAAATCATACATATTTGTACGTGATATTTTAGAAAATTCTCGCCAATCTTAATAAATATTAAAAAAATATTTTTCTTTATATTTAAATAATATAATAAGAATATACTTGATGGTATACAATAAGGTGGATTAGCAATATTTGCTTCACCAAAACCTTTCATATTTCCAGCTAATACTCGTACATAACATTTTTGTCCAACAGATAAATTTCGAATAATATATTCTCTTGAAAAACAATTTTTAATTATATCAAATGATATTTGATTAAAATATTCATCTGTACTCCATTCAACTAATTAAAAATAATAATAATAAGAGATAAAAAAAAAAATAATATTTGAGATAATAAAATTTTACTTTTATATTTAATAACCACAGCTCCATTTGATCGTAATGGTTCATCAAATGTTACAGTTATATTATCTGAACCTGTAACCATTAAACGAACATTTGTTGGTGCATCGGGAACAACTGAATTAAAATTAAATAGAATTTTTTATTAATAACAAAAAAAATTTACATCTTTGATAATGAAATTCAAAATTTTTTCGTTTAGATTTTATTATCAATCGAACTAAAGTTTTAACAATGAATACAGAAGAACGAAATTTTTTTTCCAGTATTCATAGTTTTTTTTTTCGTCCGAATTTTACAAATATATGTTATTTAAGTGCAAAAAAAAAAGCAAAGATTTTATATTGATTAATTTAATAATGCAATAGTATCTTATCATTTACATTCTCTTATTTATTACCGAAAGAAAATTCATTTAGTTTTATTTGTCATGAATCTAATTATATTCTTTTAGGATCAATAGAAACATTAAAAAAAACACCGGCATCATTTGTTATATATTTTGTCATTTTTACCTGCTTGTTCATAATTATCTTTCATTTGAGTTAATGTTAATAAACGTTGTTGATTGAATTGTTGTTGTTGTTGATTTTTACTTGTACGACGATGACGTTGTTGTTTGTCACATAATGGTGATAAACGACGTGACTAGAACAAAAAAAATTGATTAGTTGTTTCATATTTCAAGTATTTGAATATTAATTAAAGTACACTTCATGAGATTTTCTAGTATATCAATCTATTTTTATTAAGGGTGTCTCAAGTAGTACGAACTACAAAAAACAACCGGCCCCTCGAGATTAAAATGTAACTCAATATTTATTTATAATTACAAATGAACTAAATTATATATTACTAGTAACTATAGTGAATATACAATATAGACAAAATAATTTTACACAATCCTACAATTGAAAAATTTCAATGGAATAATAATAGTTGTTATTTTCCACCTATGTAGAACTATTTCACATGGTAGCGATCTTCTTTGCGCTCAAAAATTAAATGACCTCCTTAAATTTTACCTTGTTGAATTGTATATAGAAAGATGCAGTTTTTGACGCGCTTTCTCCTAATGTTAAAAGATTCTTGGAGGGAATTGCTCTGGTGACACAATTTGTATTTGAGAATCTTGTTCTATCATGATGCATTTAACAGATCTAATCAAGATACGTTAATTAATACTAAAAAGGAGGAACCTTTAGTGGCAATATATGTTGTCATAAAGTGTTAAATAAATTTCTCTAAATTTCTGGAATAATACCTGAGGGTGTTTTCAAAGATGCCTTCATAGGATTTTCAGAGAGAACTAAAAATTTGGATTTGAACAAAACTTTTTACGGGCTTTCGAATGATATAACTTATTTCAAAATTAAAATTTTTCCTATGCATGTTTGGTGAGTGGTCTGATGGGTCCTGACTTAAAATAAAATTTTCAAATATATGATAAAGCATAGTTCTACATAGATGGAAAATAACAATTGTTGTTTCATTGAAATTTTTAAATTGAAAGATTTTATAAAATTGTTTTGTACATATTGTCTATATTGTACATTCACTATAATTACTATTGGTGTATAATTTAGTTCATTTGTAATTATAAATAAATAATTAGTTACATTTTAATCTCGAGGAGTCCGTTATTTTTGCACTCCGTACTACTTTAAAAAAGGAAAACAATGAACATATTGATACTTTTCAGTGACAAACGTATTCAATTTTTTTCTATTCAAAGAACTATGTAAAAGAAGAACAGGTGCTATGCTTGCTGTCCTGTTTTTTTTTTGATAACTGTAGAAATCAAAAAACATTTTCGAATTTTGACTTAATATTTCGGCTGACAGGTAAAGCTCATCAGGTCTCGTCGCATGAATGATGAATATGATATTTTGTTTTTTATTAAAAATTTCCTCGATTCGAAAAAAAACTTTTTTTTTTATAGAAAACAGAGATGGAATCGATTCCATCTCTGCTACGAAAAAAAGGAGTTTCTGATAGCGAAATTATTTTTAAAGTTCCACTGTTTCCGGGAAACGATTCATCAGAGACATTTGAAATTTTTAGGTCAAGTAGATCTTAATGATTAGAGCAAAAGTTGTCATAGACTCCGATGTTATATTCAATCAAGCTGAAATTTTTTTTTACAGGCACTAGACACTCTTTAGGATGAGTACCTTGCTATTTTTTGTCCTTCGAATAAAAAAGTCAAAATATTGAAGGTACCCTAAAAAACGCATGTTTTTTTTTTGTAGGAGTTACCAAAACTCAGTAGCACAATATTTTTTGAAACAAAAAAGATCCCTATCCAAAAGTATATAGCTTAAGTGTAAAAAGTTTCAGCTCGATCGAATGTACCAGGTCGAAGAAACGAGAACGCTTTTGCACTTTTTCATAAAAGAAAAGATTGGTTTGAGGAAAACGTGAATTAATGTACAGTTTTTACTATTCTGATTTTTTAATATTTTAAGACAATCTTTAAATCCCAAAATGTGATTAGTAGATAGAAACTACTTCGAAGTATATAATCGTCAGAAAAAAACAAAAACTTTAAGTTGAGAAAGTGGGAAGGGTTATCGTTCAACTTCTTTTTGCAGTATGTCTGTGACTTTGATCTAGTGTTATTTTTTGTAATTTTCACTTGAACATTCTATTAAATTGAACTAAATGAGAATCTCTAATTCAAACAAATGAAAAGAATAATCTCGAGATTTTCTTCCAAATCAAATAGAATGTGGAAAAAAATAGATTTCAATTAATTCTTCCTTATTGTTTGTGTAACAATAAATAAAATCCTACTTGAATATCATCAGGTGATAATTTATTTGATGGAGATTTTTTAATCGAATCATCAGAATGTTGTTCACTAAGCATCGATAGTTGGTGACAAACACTTTGATAACGAGAATCTGTTGATTGAACTTTTCAAATAAAAACATTCTGATGTTTTATTTAAAAAAAAAATATTAAAAATTAAACATACGTTTCGGACTTTCTTCAGCACCATAATGTAAAAGAAATTGTACCATTAGAATATTATTAAGCATTATAGCAATATCCAATGGACGCCAATCATATTCATTATATCTTAATATAGAAAAAAAAAACATATTTTTGTTTTTTTGTGTAATAGAATTTAGTAAATTTGACTTACGAATTAATAATATTTTCATTTGTTTGAATAAATTGTTTTGTTAGAAGAAAATCTGAATCTTCGACCGTTTGAAAAATGTCTTCTTTTAAAAATTATTTTTATTTAGAAAAAAAATTTAACAAAAAAAAAAAAGAAAATAATTTTTACTTTCAATTTGTATTTTATTATTTGAATTATTAAATGCATTAACAGCTGTTGCTAATAAAGTATTTCCATTTAATGTATTTTTAGTATCAACAATTTTATTCAACGATATACTTCCAGTTGTATTACGACGTTTAGATAAATATGGATTTAAATCCGATGAATGATTTTTCAATGGTATTTTATTAGGTGGTAATGATAGTAAAGGTTCTCTTCCATGACGAATATTTTGTTTAGAAATATTAGAAGATGATGAACTCGTTCCTGGCTGTTTTGAAAATGCTGGACTAGGCGCTCGAAGATTACTAATTGAAAAATAGACAAAAAAAACAGTCTTGTTTTTCAAACTTTATAGAATTTTAGATTATTATTATGAATAATATGTATTCATTATAATTCATATTAACAAAGGATATAAGAACTCGACGAAAGACGCTAATAACAATAAGTGTTGACAAATCTTAAATGTTCTAGAGCAATTGGTATTATACAATCAATAAATTTGTGGAATGCAACAGTTTTTAGGATTTGACTTTTTTTTCCTACAAGTCACTGAATTAGAACGTTTTCTATATTTTCTCGTATTGTAAGCAAAAATATTTAACAGATATTTATAAACATAAGAGTAAAACAAAGGAGAATTCATCTTATATTTCCTTTGGATAACTAGTTTCTAAAACTAATTCAATTGTATATTAATTTCCCTGAATGAGTTAGAGATCTGCAAAATGGGCCCGATTCCGTCAGGACTTAAAACTTACTAAACTAGTCTCAGTATACTTTCTATTTAAGAACTAGACTATATATTGTCATACTTATTATTTTGTTCTAATTATAAATCTACAAATCGATCCTTTTTTTATGATTGTGATAAAAGTATAGATCTGCAAAATCACTTTTTTCGATCCTGGATTGGAACCATCTTGGAAATCCCTATTAAAAATAGTATCTATAGTTCTATATATCCTAAATTTTGATACTATCAAAGTGACTCTTGAGGAAATACCGATTGAAGATTATTTATCTATGCAAGAACTGTAAGCTCTGAAAGAATTTTCTAAGACATACGGTCAAAACCAAAGAAAATTTTCCGTAAGATAAAACAAGTGATTTTGTATTTCTCTAGTTTTATATTCACACTATTAATTTACCATAATCATCAATATTGATTTTATATGTATTCAAAGAATCATACAGATTATTAAAAAGAAAAAAGAGTTTTTTGCTAGAAACGAAATCAGGATCAGAAGCAATAAAAGGATTTTAACTGAGATCGGGACTGAAAAAGGGTGGTCCTACTATTTCCTAGAATGAGTTCATCATAGCTGATTGGTGACGTTGTTCAGCACATACCTGGACCATCCGTTCGATAGCATGTTGACTAAATTGTAACAGACACCTGATCTTCTGGCTAGTATGTGGTTAGTCAGTGTGTACGGGGAGTTCATCAGGCGAACCTTCTGCTAATGAATCTGTTGGTAGGCAGCACTTTTACAGCAAGGTAGTCGAAAGACAGGAATATCCTGAGACACAAACTTGAAAAGGCAAAACTATGTTTACCTTACTTCTTTTTTATTAGTGTTAATAACTATAAAATCTGACAAGTTGAACGAAAATTTTATTATAATTTCTAATCAGCAAACTTTTATCTCATATATAACTAATCTTTTCAAGATTTTGTCTTTTTATATGATTATATTTATCTTAAGGATTTCTATTAGCTTAATCCAACAAAGATGACATTTGGAAAAATAATTACGATGTGGAATCAATTATTAGATAATTCAGAAGATTTTTATTTTCTTACGTGGGTGTTTCATTTAGTACTTTTGTTGTAGCCACATTACCATCAGACTAAAAAGAAATTAATTTAAAAAAATCGAAATAGATAATATAAGAAAATTTCTTTACAGATGTTCCTCTTGAATAAGGTCGAGTTTTAGGATTAATTTGTCGAAAAAGTAATTTTTGAATAATATTAAGACTAGTAGATGGTGCTGTTGATTTTTGTTCATCTTTATAAATTAAAAAAATAATAATTAAAATTCATAAAATATTTTTATGAAAACCTTTTGTTCTATTCGAATTTACAGTTAATATTTCAACTTTAGCAAGTGAAAAACGTCGAGATCGATTATTACGTTTTTTATTCATTGTTATTAAATTTGAAGGTATAAATTTAAATTCATGAGATAAAATTTCTTCTGATGATTTATTACACGTTGTTGATTTTTGAACTTGATATCTAAGAATATATGAAATAAAATATATATATATTTATAGAATTATTGTTGTCTTTTTTCTTACGCTTACTGAAGTTGAATTAACAAAAAGAAAAGGACAATTAACTAGACAACATCATCGTCATCAAATCTCAATGATTACATCGTGCAAACATACTTCTACATGGTTGAATCAACTACTAATCATATATATATAGATAAGAATCAAATAAAATCTTTGACTAATTATTTACTCATCAAGTGTTGATTTAATATATAGAAAAGAAAACCTATACGAATGAAGACTAATAACAAATATCTTATGTCTATCTGATTATCCTATAAATACTGTTAACCTATGGATAATAAATCGATCGTTCTTTTTTTTTTTTTGTTTTTCGATAGGACGTCATTTATTTCATCGAACAAATAACATAATGTCTTTCTATTAGGTCAAATTCGATTATTAAAGAAAAAAAAAAGCATTTCCAGATGACTAGTAAGAAGAATATAAGTACTTATTTTAATAACAATATCTTATGAGTGTCATGATGACCAAAATATTTTTCCAATATATCACAAAGGAAAAATATAAATCATTGCTTCGATATATATATATATATGGGAGACGTCTATGACTTACAAGAAGGATTGGATGAAATTATGTTAAAAGAACAACTTTGTATACTTGTAAACACCTGTTATTTTCATGCATTTCTATCTGTGTCTATTACTGGCAACTCAAATTTCTAATATGTAAATGGATGCGTATTACGCCAACTAAAAAACATGAAAGAGTTCACAGTAATACTAAAGAAAAGTCTTTTAAGTACACTTCAATGAATAATGTCAAAAGAACGGTACTCATCATAAATAGATATACTTTACAGAATATATATATATATTTATGATCGGTATAATTATTAAGAGGTACTCATTCATAGTGTTTAATCTATTAATTAAAAAAAAAAATGTCTCTCGAGACACAAATTTCGATAGATTAATATTAATTCCCAAATTGAATTAATTATCGATGATAGTAAAGAAAAAAAAACGATGAAGAAACTAACTTTAAAATACTATGTTCATGTGTTGAATCTAATACTTGTCGACATTAATGATAAAAATGAATTATACTTACATATCATTTTATTTTATATCTACTCTCAAAAGATAATGGATCTCTCATATGATCAATATCATTTTTTATATTCTTTTATAAAAGAAACAAGAAAATCTAAATGATGTTTTTCTAAGAATTTGTTGTTTTCATTGAATGTTTTCTTTATTATTATGGTTTTTTTTTCTTGTCCGTAAATGCGTTCGATATGATAATGTTCATCAATTATTCAAATAATAAATAAAATATATGAAAACGTACATATTAATAGGAAAACAATTATTTATAATAAATTGAATCGATCACAAATATGTACGAGTGGAATAAATAAGTATTAATAAGAAATTATTTTTCTTGTGTATCCTAATAAAGGGAACGTGTTCTCGTATGTAACAAAAAAAAAATAAAAGAAGAATCCGTCCCAAGATCAAAATAAGAGAAAAAGAAAAGCACACATCTCTTACATAATATAAGTATATAGACTATTTTTGATTATGAACGATTAATATGAAGTTTTCTTTATGAAAAAAAAAGTTCTCTTAAACATCTACTCTATATAATTTATCAAGAACATTCTTAATACATCATAAAAATGTACTTTTGTCAAAACACTTCATGAAAAAAAACTGTTTCTATCTATTGTTTTCATTAAAAAATAGACTGATGAAGATCGAAAGAGCTATAAGATATCGACATGAATCTATAATTCATTCTAATATATGTGTATCTTGATTAAGAGAAAAAAAAAATGCATCTGATAAAAGAAGTGATGAAGTGCTGATTACTCTTAGAAATTTATCTATTCTATATCTTTATTAGAATATTATTTTTGATGAAATCAGTAAAATACGATGTAACAAACAAACAAACAAACAAACAAAAAAAAAAGAGAAATTATTTTTCTACTTTTTGTTTTTAGTTAATCTATGACACTTATAAATATCAAGGTTGATCTAAGATCGTCTGATTATTGATTACGAATGTCAACAACAGAAAAAAAAATTAATCAATTATATTTTGATGTTTATGTTATCGAAAAAAAAAAGTAAGGATCTACATATGTCTATACATGTGGTTTATTGAAATCGAGCACTTTTTTTTCTCATTAGTTATGCTATAGATGTTTTCAAAATATTCGTTGTCTTGTTGAATAAAATATTAACATGATATATAATAGAATCTAAATAAAGAATAGAAATTAAAAACTTATATCATTTTCATTTTCTTTATTATTTAAGAATTATTTTAGAAAGAATTTCTTATATTTTATGAATATAGAAATATACAATACTACGCAATCGTTTTTCTGCATTTAAGATAAGATCGATATCAGTTTGTGTCGATAAGTCAAGGTTTTCTTTTTGTTTCATCATTGCATCAAGGCAATATGTACTTTCAATCATCAATTACGTCATTCTTAAGACAGTCAATTAAATCGACACATGTCTACGTGCCATTTTGTACATCTATCAAAGGATTTATCTTAACATGTGCATAAGCAAATAATAATCAAATGACTAGACTTATAATCAAGGATGGTGGACTACCTAGATATAATTAGCAAAATTAATGAGACCTTCGAAAACACTTGTTGTCTCGATTGACACAAGCATCTGATCATATCATGTCATCGTGATAATATTGTTCATTGTCTCAATGTACTTACTAATATCAATCTGTAGAATAAGAAAAGCGAAAATAATTACACAATGTCAACTAATCCAATTAATATTCTAAATAAAGATCATCGAACGTGATTGTATGAGTCTCGAGAAAATTCTTCTATTTCTTAATTAATAACAAGCATTTTTCTTTTTTTTTCCCCACTCGAAAAAAAAAACGGAATTCTATTATATTAATTAATGTAATCCCCGTTTTGTTTTCAAAAAGGAATTTCTATTATAAATTCAATTGATGAATCATACTAATAAATTCCATCTGATTATCGATTTCATTAGAATGAATTCAGTGTGCATGCCCAATGTTCATCATTATAGCTTATCTATATACAATTCTTTCGAAATTATGTTTTGTATTCCCGTCAAATGCACAAGCATATCTTTCTTCTACAAAAAGAAAAAAAGAAAGAAACCCTTTTATTTCTAAAAAAAATACATCCGTTTTGCAAAAAAAAACACACCTAAACACATTTACCTATATCCTTATCTAACAAATTAGAAAGAAAAGTCATGACAATCTAATCTAATCTTTACTTTCTTATAAACTAACCTTTCTTTATGTGTAGTTGTTGATGTTATTCGTGTTGCATGAGGAATATTGCCACGTATACTATCACGCACATGTCGAAAATTATTATTATCAATTCGATGTACATCGATTTCACCATATGAAGCACGTTTTTTGATCTTTTTTAAAGGAGAATTATTTGTTGAACGAAATGGTGTTAATGATGAACGACGATGTACTAAACGATGACGATTATTATTAAATATTGATGATGATATAAAATGTGATTTTAAATGTTCTTGACACCATCGATAGAATCTAATCCAATTATCAGTAGTAGCCATTTTCTATAATATAGACAAACAAAAAAAAAAGACTAAATGACAAGTATTGATTATGTCTTTTATTATGAATGAGTGATGATATTCGACATGTTGTGTTATCAATAAATAAAGAATAATTTACAAGCGATGACAAACATGAAACAGTTCAATGTACAGTTGTACTCTTCATATACATAATTACTACTCGTTATGTCGATATAAGCTGAAAGCAATAAGAGAGAGAGAGAGACAAACATATAAAAAGAAGTGACACACTTCGAGAAAAGAACATATTGAGAACTAGGAATTCTTATTGTTTATTTATATGCGATCAATGACCTTCATTTATGTAGGAACAATATGGCTTGATTGTTTTTTGAACTAAAATAGAAAGAAAAATGAATAAATTTTATTATCAACATGAAAGTCGAAAGAATAAGAATAAACATTTTTATTATCAAGTAAATATAGGTGTATGATTTCATAGTGAAGAAAGAAAACAAAACCACATCGTTGTATCAATCAGGAACTTACCAAAAAAAAAAGAAATGAACGGAACAGAAACAAGACGTTTTTTGTTCAAGTCTCTTATTTTGATAAATTAAATTGCCTCTCTTTATTATTATGATTATTATTATTATATATACAGATATATGGTTAGACATGTCAAAGGAGAACAAAAAAAAAAATAAAACAAGATTGTAAAACGTTCAGGAACAAAAAAGTCGAGAGAGGCATTGACCTTTTGTCTGACTTATATTGAATTATTATCTTGTGTATCTAATAAGAGAACATATGCGTATAGCGTTAATTGTTTCAATGAATAATATTGTATAGAAAGTCGAGATCAAGGCAAATAAAAGAGAAGAAGAGATGTAGAAATAGAATCCATACATGCTTGGTCATATCTCATTCCTATTGCATCTATGTGTAACTATAGATAATTTTAAACATCCCTAACAAAATATGCAAGGATCAATCAACTTCATCAAGCTTCTCTCTATTACCATTCCCATCTTATGATATATTTCGCTGAGAGGCACATATATTCATAACAAACAAAAAAAAAACGACTTTTTTAGACAAACAGAAAAAAAGAATAAAACTACTTCTCAATTATCAAAACACTTTTTCAATAGAACTATAAAGACTATGACTTATGATTATAAAATACTAAGTCATAATAGGATAAATAATTGGTAGATATCAATCTATTTGATTCTCTCTTAAGCTTAATTTTACTGTGACAGATGAATCGTCTCTTTAGAACCGCTTTCAGTCAGAGAGTGTAACACAGCGATAATAATATTTCATTCTCTATCATAAATATGTTATGGTAGAAATTCTTGATTAGTTCCAGATAATCTTATGAATTATTTAAACCTAGATGAAGAACATCGTCTATCTGTATAAGTACATTTTAACCTTGATAAATAAAATATCTATATTGTAGTAGATAGAAAAAAAGAAACATTTAATATATTTTCATTTGATCTGAACTATGTTTAGTCGTTCAGTAAATATATATATATTGAAACAATATTACATGAAATAATCAGGAAATAGGATATAAAATAATTAGTGACTTTGTAATTAAATCCTAAATAATAATAATAATTATCGAGCTATTTTTATAACTAGAAGATGAACAACAGAATCTTAAATTAATGAATGTGTATAACTAGAATGTTTTCTTTTTTTCTCTAGTCAATATTTGGAGAGAGTCGACAACACAACACATCAATCATAGTTAATAAATTTAGATTATGCTAAAACTATGTTATATTTACTGACAAATTTTATTACACAATATTACGTCACACATATTTGATCGATCAAGTTTATTCTGTTATCATAAGCACTGAACTATATCTGAGGTCGCAACGACTTATACTTTAAAATCAGAAAAAAAGACGAGTAGTTCGATAAGAAAAGTCAGAATATTGTAAAATCTCTTTTATTTTTTCTATGTTTGAAATAGTCTGAAGTATAATATTTTACTCTTACTTCAGAGTACTCCAGTCTCGGGTTTTCCTTCTTTGCACATATCTCTTTGAATATAACATATGCGTATATCTTTTCAAGAAACTTTTTCATGATTATAGTTTAGTTCGTAGTAATTGGCTTAATTATTGATAACGTACTTTAAACTATGAATTAAGAATTATATTAGGAGAGAACTAAATGAACTCTATAAAAATAAAATTGAAAAAATTTTTCAAAGTTACATTCAATAGTTTGTTAAAGTTATGTTTAAATTTTAAAAATGAACGAGACAACATTTATTGAACAATGAAAATAAATTTATATGAAAAATTTGGTCCGAAACGATGAAAACATTAGATAATAACGAAAAATGAGAAACGTCTTTCTCTATGATTCAACTTACATCAATAAGAATCGTCAAATGTATAACTAGCTGCTTCAAAACTTCAATAAATTAAACATGATGAAAATTGTTTAAAACTAATTATGAAACAAATATAATATGTAAAAATCTTCGAAATAGATTAAATGTAATACAGAACGCTTCCTAATCGTATAGACATATTCTAATACTCACATAGTACCCAAAGGTTATTATGACATACTTGCAGCAGGGCATCCTGAATTCAGTACATTCACTAGGATAATGTCGTTACGAGACCTATTATATTGATGGGAGTATTCATAAATCATTGAATTTTGTTGTCTTTGATTATATGATTTATATCCGACAGACGTTCTGCATATATCAACGAAATTGATTTGCTCTATGTTAGACATATTGACACAAATAAATACAATTGTCATGTGCTTCACTTTATTATGAATGAATTTCATTAGTTTGATATAACAAAATAGAAAATCAATTCAAGAAATCAATAGGTTATTGAATACATTAACACAAATAGTGAATACAAAATGAAGAGCATAAAAACAAATGTAGATCAATAGACATGATGAATTTTTGTACTTGATTTAATCAGTTATAATCACATGTTGTTCAATTTGAATAATTTCTTTTTACTTATTTATATTGATTTTAAATAATAAAGTTCGTAAGCATTTATAAATCTTATCTTCGAATTATTCATTAACACCCTAAACAATTAATAATAATAATAATGCGATTTAAGGTTCTTTCCTGCATGGTTTTTGTCAGAAAAAATTCGATTTTGACACGATTGGATAACCCTTACTGTCTAATATAATTTACTGAATTTATTATGTTTTCTATACTGTTTTATTAATAAACAACCTTGAATTCTTAGGTGAAACTTTATTTCACGTTTTTCTCAAAGGAGATTTTTTTTTTTAATTTTTTTCTCTTCTTATGTTAAAGATTTCTCGGTCGTTTTACATGCAAGAAAGCTCAGAAGGATTTTAATTGAAGAGAAAATTGTGTTTTATAACTTAACAGAACCGAAATTTTCATTTTCAACTTTTTGAAAGAAAAAAATGAATTTTTTTCCGTAGACGCACTCTGATTTTTTTTTTGAAAGAAAATTTCATCAGAAGTAAACAAACAATATTTTGAAATATCGAGCTCTGTTATGTTGTAACGACAGATCCTGGCTGCATTTTAAAATTAACTCGCGGAATCTGTATTGTTGAATTTCGGGAAGAATTTCTTGTCACATGGAGGTCTACTTTTTGATCCTTGATGTCATGATAGCTCAATATTTTCAACCGAAATTTGTACTATAAACTGTTAAGATCTGAACACATATTCTTTGAAATTTTCAGCCAGATCGATTGTTCTAGAGCAAAAATAGGTTTCTAACGGGGGACCTAGATCTTAATATAATTTTACAATCAATATAGAAACTTTGACATTTTATTAATGAGTACCATTATCATCAATACTAAAGACGTCACTTGGTGATGTGAATGTGCATGTTATTATGATATTATTATTATTATTGAAGTTTTCTTTCAAACTTACCTTAAACAATTTTTTCATTAATTATTAAATTGCATTCTATAGTCTCTACTTATTTCGTGGATCAATGCATAAAAATTTTTATTACGTTTATAGCATATCTAATACTGAATGCTTCAGATTATCAATCTTTGATAGAACTAAATGTGATACGTGCAAATGCCATTATTAGAAAGTATATATACGAAACTTTCGATTATGTAAAATAAATGATAGAATAAACAAGTTATATCATTTATTGTTTAAATAGATATCTAGAAATTCACAAATTCAATTTGAAAAAATCCACAGATCGTTATATTGATTTCTTCATTTATAGATATTGATGATAAAAATTTTTCTGAGTATGTCGGATTTATATGACTAGTCATAAATTGCAGGATTGACAAATGTAAACATTCCAGTACTATTCATTCATATTCGAAATGAGTCTGTTAGTAAAACGATTCATTGCTGAATCATCTACTTTCGAGATCAGTTAATCATTTTTGAAGACCATAGTCAAATGATAAATTGTTCTACTGGTTGTATCGGTCAATTGTATTGAAGTTATTCATCATGAGTCATAGAATCTATTAAAATAAACTACTTTAAATGATTCTTACGAATAATATTCACTTAAGGTCACATAAGTTCAAAAACAATGTATAAAACGAGGTGAAACACTTTCGTCTACGAATATCTCTGAAGAATGTTCGTAAATAACTGTGTGTAATCAATTTACAAAAATCTATCGAATTTTGAAATATAGTTGCTTATAAAAACATGTACAAAAATATTTTTATGTTTTATACGATACTTGAACAATGAAATGATTTTATAAAAGTGCGATTGTTCTTTTTCTTTTCTTGCGTATATATGGGGATGAACAGTCTGGTTGGGTGACCTATTAATATATTTTTCTATTGTAAGGATAAAACATACTATTGTTCAGGTCATATGAGAGAGAATCACAGATAACCCTGGATTGGCTCGAATAACACCATGTTTTATCCTTACAATAGTAGAGAAAAGTTATCAGCTCACACGGTAAGTTAGTCATTTTTCTCGATTATTGTAAGGATAAAACATGGTGTTATTCGAGCCAATCCAGGGT